AATTTTGCAAACCCTAATTAAGTAATGTATGATGAAGTGGGCAGTAAACATAGGTCACACAACTGGAATGGAGGACTGGGAGAAAATGTGGACTAATAAAGTGAAATATACCTACTCATATGACCTGAAAGAGCTAGTATAAAATGATGTACCAATAGTATATGGTATTCTCTCGCTACTTCGTGGTTTGCTTTTCGCAGACTCACTATTTTGCGGTTTTTCAAAAAATATGAATTTAAATATACAAGTAGTGAGAGAACACTGTATACTTGTTATCAAAGTGCATTGTTTCTCCAGCGTAGATGCTGCCACAAACTTGAGTTGCACTGAGCGGACGAAGGGCTCTCGCGCTGCCCTGGGAGGGAGGGAGGGGGCAAGCCAGAAACCCCTTGGTGGTGATGTAGGTGCATGGGAAGTGATGTTTACGTGCTTCCTAGAAGCCGGAAGCATCACCCTGGGTGGCGGAGGCAGTGAGCTGCAAGGGAGGCATGTGTGTGGCTAGTGAAGAGCCCCGTCTTTCCTGGAGCTTAGATGAAGTGGCGCTGACAAGGGGTGTGGAGAGGACTCTGTTGGGGCTTCTTGCTCGGGTGACCGGGTGAGAGCCCCAGCCCAGTGGAGAAGCATAGAGGGAGGGAGAAGGGCAGCTCCAGCAAGGGGAGGGGGAGGGAGGAAGGGAGGGGGAAAGAGGAAAGAGAAGGTGAAGGGATTGAGGAAAGTGGAGGGGGAGAGAGGAGTGGGTGGAGCCACTCCTAGGAGGGGGTGGTCTTACACCTCACACTGTAGATAGCGTCCCTACTCCGTGGATTTTCACTTATCGTGGGTGGTACTGGAACGTAACACCCGTGATAAGTGAGGGAACACTGTATTGCCTCAAGTAAATTAGCAAAATCCTATAAAAATATGAATGCAAAATGTTGGAAATGTAATATGGAATTAGGCACCTTTTTCACATGTGGTGGAGTTGTAAGAAGGCAAAGAGTTATTGGAGAGAAATACACAGAGCAATTCAGAAGATCTCACAAATAAAACTGCAAATGAAACCAGAGTACTTCCGGTTGGGAAACACTGATATAAAATTAGAGAGAAATAAATATATCTTTTGGTAACTGTGGCCAGAAGAGTGCATGCACAACACTGGAGGTCAAATGAATTCCCAACACTGAAGTAATAGCTGATAAAAATGGTGGAAATTATGTGCATGGAAAAACTAACACAATTAGAAACTGACAAGGCAACTTCAAAAAGGCAACGGACTGGACTTTATTGATAAGATATATGAAACAAGAAAAAATGAGGATGCTATTATAAATCAGAATCAAGAAGAAAACAGCTACTCCTGGGAACATAAAAAGGAAGAGGAGGAAATTAAGTAAGAAGTAAAGGAGAAGTATAGACTTTAAATCACAATGAAGAGGATTGGAAGCCAACAATATATTTTTTCCCAATTCTAAATCCTAACATTGGACCTAAATATCCCCCTTCTTTTTTATTTATTACTATACCTTTCCCGTATTTTTCCTTTCTTTACATTTTTTAATGTTATAGAAAAAATATCTCAATAAAAATATTAAATTTTTTTCAAACTCAATTTCAATACATGAAAATGTATGTTATTTACTCTTAACAAGAATTCCCTGCATTTTGCCTTTGCAATTTGAGGATGTGACTCACCCAAGACATCTGGTGGAAAATCCAGATGTAACATTCATACGAGAAACCATAACCTTCCCAAGGCAATTGTAGGATCTGCAAACTGAATTGCCCAAGTATTTATAGCTTTCAGTAAGGCATATTAGAGGAGGAAATCACTCTTGTGTTTTTTCAAAACATTTTGCGATGTTCCTTGCTTTTAGTTACTTGTATCATTTCAGTGTATTTAAATATTATGTGCTTGAGCAAAGCAAAATATCACACTAACAGCAGCAGTGGAATTAATAGTGAAAAGAGATGTAGTGAAAGTAGCCAAAAGTTATAATGTAGAGTCTGACCAAATAATATCATAAGAACATTAGAGAAAAAAACCTATTAACATAATCACAATCCAGAAAAAGAAGAAATAGAAAGATGCTATGCTGGAATCCAAAAGGAAATTGAACACCTGCCAAAATAGGACTTCTTGTTAATCATAGGAGGAAAGTAGGAAACAGAGCAGAATAAGATAGTAGGTAAATTTGTCCGACGATCAAAAAAGGAATGAGAATGACTGATTGAATTTTGAGAGGCTGTTTAGTGCAAACACATTCTTCAAGCAACCAAAGAGGTGACAGTATACATGGTGATCACCGAATAACCAATATAGAAAGCAAATAGAACTGAAATCAGAAGCACAATAGGAAGAGGCTCCATTCTCTCTGCAAAAACTAGACCAGAAGCAGAATGTAGCACAGACAATAAACTGCTGATGTAAAAAAAAAGGAGTAAAACTAAAGACGACTAGATCCAGGGAACTCATGCTACCTCTCTATCCTGCCTTGGTCAGACCACACCTGGTATATTGTGTCAATTTCTGGGCACCACAGTTGAAGGGAGATGTTGACAAGCTGGAATGTGTCCAGAGGAGGGCAACTAAAATGATCTAGCATCTGGAGAACAAGCCCTGTGAGGAGCAGCTTAAAGAGCTGGGCATGTTTAGCCTGCAGAAGAGAAGGCTGAGAGGAGACATGATGAGGGCCATGTATAAATATGTTATGGGAAGTCATAGGAAGGAGGGAGCAAACTTTTCTGCTGCACTGGAGACTAGAACGTGGAACAATGGCTTCAAACTACAGGAAAGGAGATTCCACCTGAACATTAGGAAGAACTTCCTAATGGTGAGAGCCATTCAGCAGTGGAACTCTCTCTCTGCCTCGGAGTGTGGTGGAGGCTCCTTCTTTGGAGGCGTTTAAACAGAGTCCACTTGTCAGGAGTGCTTTCAATGAGATTTCCTGCTTCTTGTCAAGGGGTTGGACTGGATGACCCACAAAGTCTCTTCCAACTCTATGATTCTATTATTCTAAGTTGCATTTTATCAAAGACCTTTCTCTAGATTAATGATGTGGGCCACACATTTCGTTTTCAAGTTCATCTACAGCTATAAAAACTAGTTTCCTTTTAATCACCTGCCTTTCTTAGTTTACCCAAAAAGCCCGAAGCAATGTCCTGTGTGGATTGTCCCAAAGAAACTTTTGATATGCATTCATCTTCTCCCCTTTGTCATCAACACCAGAAAGTGTCGCTTTGATTTTAAGAAAAACCTCTCTCTGAATTGCAAGAACTCCAGCACTATAAATTCTCCTGAGCAACTGTTCAGCTCGGTCTTCTGCCTTTATTCTCCGGAGTCTTATTTAATCAAAATGATGTTTCTAATTAAGGATTAAAACCCAGAATTGAACGTTTAAAGAGGGATTTCCCCCCTCTTTCCTATACTCCTTTGGGTAGGTCAATGAGGAAGAATTTGCTTCAAGGAACTAAACAATCTTTTCACCTTCAGTTAGAAGCAGCAATATTTAAGAAAGAGCTCAGATATGATCCAAAAATGCACCAGAGAAGGTTGGAAAGAGGAAACTGTTCCCATAGAAATACAGTGTGATGTATTTCCATAGCAATTTTACATTATACCTACTGTAAGTTCATACCATGTACACCTTTCCATGTAAATTCATATTATCTTTCAGGAAATAGCACATTTAGGCCTCTGCCAAGATCAGAAACCCATTCACACTATAGAATTGTAGTGCTATTATTCTGATTTAACCAACATGGCCCAACCTGTGGAAACCTAGGACTGACAGTTTAGGAAGGGGCACACTAATGTGGTACATTGGTTTGAGTGCTGGACTATCTCTGGAGTCCAAGGTTGGAATCCTCACTTGGTCCTGAAAGTTCACTGGGTTGACTCTGGTCAAGTCATACACTCTCAGCCCATTATAGCTCATGATAGGTTCACCTTAGGGTCACCATAAGGTGGAAATGATTTGAAGGCACACAACAATTCAGAATTCTTAGGCAGAGAGTTTCAGTGCCTTACCAACTGACAAACCACAGGATACCATAGGATGAAATCATGGCAGTTAAAGTGGAGTCATAATGCTCTAACTGTATAGTGTGAATGGCCCCCACGTTGCATGTCTAATGAGAGCCACTAGAAAATTTTCCCACCATCTGCTTTCTTCCATGACAAGGTTCTAGGTAGATTACCACTGTTTTTTTCTATGTTTTCCAGGAAAACTGACAGATCAGAGATACGAGGTTGCCAATATACTTAAAAATAAACATATACAGATTGAAATCTCTTCAGGAAAAGTATTTTAATTAGGGCTAACTCAAGTGGTAGAAGTCAATGCCCACCAAACCCTTCCAGTATTTTTTGTTGATCATGAGAGTACTGTGTGCCAAGTTTGGTTCAATTCCATTTTCACTGCTTTGAGTTGCCTGAGGGCTGAGAAAAGTGGTATATAAATAAAGTAAATAAATAAATAAATAAAATTTTGGTGGAGTTCAGAATGCTCTTTCATTGTAGGTGAACTATAAATCCCAGCAACTCCCAAATGACAAAATCAATCTCCCCCAACTCCACCAGTATTCAAACTTGAGCGTATCAGGCATGTATGGCAAATTTCGTCCAATGAATGAAAATACATCCTTCATATCAGATATCTGCATTATGATTAATATCAGTAGCAAAATTATAGTTATGAAGTAGTAACAAAAATAATGTTATTGTTGGAGGTCACCACAACATGAGGAACTGTGTTAAGGAACTGCAGCACTAGGAGGTTGAGAACCAATGGAGTAGAGAGAAATGGGGGATATATTCCTTAGCATCAAGTATATGATTATGCTCTATTGAGAAGAGATGTGTGTGAAATTCTATCAGACATGGCTGGACGTTCTTCGAAATTCCCAAAGTATCAGCAGTCGGAATAATATTTCGTTAGATGAAATATGGCATATTCAGCTACCAAGATCTTCCCAATGACATCCCAACCCATGCTTATTCTCCCATTCCAACAGATACTGACCAGTTGAAAAATGGCAGGCGCTCCTTTTGACCTGTTTCATCAAGATTATACAGGCGGAGAGGACACACTAGGGCCCTTATTCCTCCTGAACCAAGACAGGTGGCAAACAGTCCAATGTAAAACAGTGCCTTTTGTTCCCTCTTTGGCAAGGTGTGAAGGACATAGCGTTTGTCTATGAAAAAATCTTCAAATGGGAAGGCAACGACAGGCAACAGGGCTGTACCTGCAACAGGAGAGATGGGCACATGAGACTGAAAGAAGGGCAGGATTAAAGGCTATATATAAAACCAGATTTTTAAAAAGTTACTTTGGAGTAAAATTCCCAGAATCCCCCCAGGCAGTAAAGCTGTAGTTAAAAAACAAACAGCATTTCCAAACTTTAAAGCAGTTGTTCCCAATCTTTGGTAATCCAGGTGAACATGAGGAAGAACTTCCTAACTGTGAGAGCCGTTCAGCAGTGGAACTCTCTGCCCCTGAGTGTGGTGGACGCTCCTTCTTTGGAAGCTTTTAAACAGAGGCTGGATTGCCATCTGTCAGGGGCGCTTTGAATGCAATATTCCTGCTTCTTGGCAGGGGGTTGGACTGGATGGCCCATGAGGTCTCTTCCAACTCTATGATTCTATGATTCGTGGATTTCAGCTCCCAGAATTCCTGACAGGTGGCAAAGCTCGCTGGGGCTTCTGGGAGATAAAGTGCCAAACCCTTTGAGGACTATAGGTTTGCAACCATTGTCCTAAAAAAAGTTTAGGGTTTTTTTGAATAGGGTTACCAAACTAGAAACTGGAGAAAGCTCCTGTACCTCTAATGCAGGGAAACCCATTTTCAATACATCAGCTTTATGGTTGCCTTCAAAGGGAGATTTTAAAATTGTGTACATGTAATGATGTTGCCGTGGCATTGAAAGCCTTGCAGGCTACATAAAATGATGTGGCATTTCACATATGTGATCTGAGGGTTGTGTAGAAGAGGAAGTCACTTGCCACAAAATCAGGCAGTAAACAGCATCTACTGATGTTCACTTCTTCACAAAGATTAAATGTACAGAAGCCCTCTCTAGTTTACAGTCTGGCAGTTGTACATCTACTCAATAGATAAGAGGCGAAATCAAATTTTAGTCACAATAAAAGTGGATTAAGTCAAATTAATGGGACCTCCATTTGCCAACCCTAAAAAGTACCATCCATTTCAATCAATCAAAAGGTATGTTCTCTAGGGTTGTGCATTTGGGGTAAACCCTGACTTGTTTCATGCTTCAGCATTTGTTGGGGGCCCTGATCCATTTTTGGGAGCCTCCTGAAATCAGAAAGGCAGACATCAGTTTTCATTGTCTGATATCAGAAGATCAATTTTTTATCAGCCCATTATTGGGGTGGAGGGAGGGGGCTTCCCATCCAGGCTATTCTTCCCAGCACGTGCTTTAATGAGGCTTCTTCTTACCTGCTGCTTCTACTCTACATGGCTGTAGGACCTGGCAAGCGTGGGCGCTCCTGCATGCCACACATACTCTTATCCTTGGAAAGTGTGTGTGTGTGTGTGCGCGCACGTGTGTGTGGTGTTCAGGAGCACCCACACTTGCACACTTGGCAGGCATGGGCATTCTGGGCCTGCACACCACACACACACACTCTTTCAAAGGAGAGTGTGTGTGTGGTGTGTAGGAGTGCCCACACCTGCCAGGGCCTGCAGCTGAGCACTTCTTACTCTGTGATGCCAAAAAGCAGACAAGGAGCTGGGACCAGCTCCTGCTTGCTTTTGTGTCGAGCTGATTTTCATAGGGGGAGAGACCTTCCTGTTCCAATCTCCTGAAATAATGAAGGACACGAAAGAAACGAAGGAAAGGGGAGAAATGAATTTCACACACAATTGTACTGTTCTCTTTCTCAAACTTTCCAAATATGATTGGTCTGTAAGTCCCAGGAGCTCCAGCCACCATAGTGAGGAATCCTCCTCAGACTTGTAGTTCAGCAGTCTCCAGAAGGATGCATGATTCCCATATATGATTTAACCCAAGATACCCAAATGTGTTAAATCTCTTCTGTACCTCTCGAGCAATAATTTCGGAAACATCAACTATATGCTGTTATTGTTTCTCTGGCTGGAAGCAGATCATCCTCCCAGCCACACTGCAGAATTATAGCAGAAACCACTTTAACCATGTTGGCTTAATCCTATGAAATCCTTGGATTTAAACTACAAATCCCAGAATTTTATTTCATAGAGCTATGACAGTTAAAGTGGTAACAAACTGCTATAATTCTGCAGTGCATATAACCCATGGGGCTATAGGTGCTTTGTTACTTGCAGGCACCTCCATTTTGATATAGGAACACCAGATTTTAGGAAGCCACAGTCTGAACACACCTTGCATTACAAACAACTGTCAGAGAATAGCACAAGGTACAACTTACCTATAAAATGCAGCAATGCACAGATATATACCAATTTGATCCGTCCCCCTGGACTTTCAGCAAGCCAGCCCATCAGAGAAGGGGTCACCATGCAGGCACCTGAAAAGCAAAGGTTGATCATGGCTGCCTGGTAGTTGTGGTAGCCAAGTTTGATGGTGCAGAAAAGGATCATGTTGCAGACAATGCCGAAAAAAGTGAATTTTTCACACAAGTCCACCAGGACAGCATAGAGCATCACCTGGATCTCCTTCTGAAACTTTGAGCCATCTTGTTGGGTCTGAGACTTCCTCCTCTCCTTCCTGGGACTGTTGTTCAAAAGTCGTGGGTCTTGAATGAAACTGATGCCCGAGGGAGGCATGGCGATTCGATCAAACAGATAAGCCAAGCTTAGAGCGACACAGATTTCCTGAGCTGTACACTTCAGCAGCGACCCTCTCCTGCAATTAACCCACAAGTGAGACATTTGTGTTAAATTCCACACCTTGCCGTGACAATTCTCAGAACTTCTCTTATATTCCTGCTTTCTGATCCAAGACCTCAATGGTAACTTATTTGACAGTGCAACTTGGGTGGCAACCAATCTGTTTAATTAGCTTGCTATGTGGCAAATGCAATCTTGGCTCCTTCTCACCGGCAAACAATTGCCTATTAAAATGATGTGAATCCAATACCATGTGCAACAAACTTTATCTGCCTCTTACAGATAAAGGTTTAAATACCGATGAAGTCTAATGCACCTCAGCAAAATTCTAGTATGAGGATCCAGAAAATAATGTGGGGCTAATATTCCAATGTTTTAATTAAGCAAACGCAAATAAAACTGGAAGCAAAGAGATAAAGACGCAAAGGATACATGTTAGCAGATGAACAATAGCTTATCATTATTACATTTTTGGTTATTTTGGAGTTCAATTCAGATAAAGAAGTTAATTAGAGGGGGAAATATGGGCCACTAGATTTAAGTGTAATAAGTAGCATCCCCATCCATTCACCTTCTTCCTAATAATTACAATCTATTCATGAAAAAGTTGGGAGCGGAGATGAGGAAAATGTTCAGGGGATATTCCAAGCCAGTTTCTCCCTTGCTTACAACTGAATTTGAGGGGCTTTTCAGGAATTTACCTGACCACATGAGAATGGGAAGCGGGTAGACTAGGGTAGGAATGGGGTAATCTTCCAGAGGGTGTTGAACTGTAAATTCCAGCATTCCTCATCAATGACTATGCTGTCTAGTATAATGGAGCAGCAGTCCAGCAGTGAACCAATGTGGTGTGGTGGCAAAAGGTACTAAATGAGTGTCAGATAGCACTCCAAGGGAACACAGTTCCACTCAGCCATGGAAACTGGTTAACTTATCTTGTGTAGATCGCACTCTTTCAATCTCAGAAAGTCAATGGCACATCACATCTGAATAATTCTTGTCCAGAAAACTCTATGGTAGGATTGTCATACACTGGATTCAACTTCAAGGCATATAATAACAAAAACAACAAGTCCAACAATACCTAGAGGGCTATACATTTCCCACCCCTAAGGTGAAGGAATAAGGGTTTCCACAAATGCATTATAGAGAACTCAGCCCCAAAGTACTTTTCTGGCATTAACCTAGGGCTTATAAGAAGAGAAAGAAGTCAATTTAGACCATGTTTAGAAACCTGCGGTTGGGACAGATAATGGGTGAGAGCAAAGCTGCTTCTGCAGATTTTTAGTAGCAAACTCAAATAGTAGTTATAAGTATGACCTTTCTTACCTGTCTTCTTCCCTTTTTCTCACTTCTGCAAAAGAGAGCCTTCTGTTCTTAAAGGAGCCCTGAAAGACACCCAGCCTTGCGATGACTTATTCTATGGCCCAGGAATGGGAAAGATTTAAGGAGAAATCCAATATATACTTTTTGGGGAGTAAATCCATTGGCTTATGCTTCCCTGTCAACATGCAAAGGTCAGAGCATAGTCACCAAACACACAGCATGAGACCCTACGCTCAGAGGGCTGGGCTGAATAACCCTCAAGAGGTACATTTCCCATTTGCAACCCACGACCTCAATGCAGCTCCACTCGGAATGGTAATTCGGCGTCTTAAAACCACATTTATTGCAAAGCCAAAGAACTTGAGTAAAGTGGGGTTTACATTTTTTTAAAGTGAATCTGCATGTATTTGTGTGATTTATTGTGCTTTCAAGAAGAAGGATTGCCTGTGTTGCTATGTTCTTGGAAGGTCCACATGAGCTGAAGAAAGTGTACAAATGGGTTATAGGTCAATCGGAAGAGACAAGATAGTAAATTCCGGCAAGAGATAGATATGCACTAAGGTCTTCTTGTCTGGTTATGGGAAATCTTTTGGGCAACATTGATTTTACTCACTGAGAAAATATCTCATATGTTTGTTTTGTTTTTTTGTGCTTCTTTGTAATCTTCAGGACTAGACACACAAAGATATAGGAGCTGAGTCTCATGACACCAGTTTCACAAACAGATATGAATGTAGGGATGGTCACATTTCTCTTCTTCCAACCCAGGTGTATCCATTTCACATAATTATAGCAGTTTGATGCCAGTTAAAGTGCCATGGCTCTTATGGGAATTCTGGGATTTGCAGTTCAATGAGATACTTAGTATTTTCTAGTATACTTCCTTGAAGTCTGGTAGAGAATTCCAAATATCTCACCAAACTATAAATCCCATAGGATCAAGCCATGGCAGTTAAAATGGCATAACAGTGTATAGGGTAGCTATATAATACATTTCAACTCACTTTTTTACAATCCTGGGAATTTTTTTAAGCACTAGCCATAAAAGAAAAGATGGCAAAAAGCAGATATATGACTGTTTCGTGAACTTGAAAAAGTTGCTTAAAAAACCCCCACCTCTGACCACGATTGCTAAGAGATTTGGAGAACTAGAGTCCAAAACCTAACTTTCCCAAGATTTGACCATTTCTAGGTGACTTTTACTTACTTACTTACTTACTTACTTACTTAGGTGATCCCTCACAGTCCAAGGATGACGGTCCTCCAAGTCTAGTGTCTTGGCGGTGGGTCCATAGGTGGCTGTGGAGCCCTATTCTTCCTCTGTATATTCTCCCACAGTGAGGACATTGGTTTCCAGGTGGAAGGTGATCCCAGTCATGGTTGGCTTGACATGCCTTCCTCTTGGCATGCTTCTCCCTTTTGCTTTCCATTCATGCAGCACTGCTGGTCATAGCTGACCTCCATTTGGAGCGCTCATGGGCCAGGGCTTTCCAGTTCTCAGTGTCTATGCTACAGTTTTTAAGGTTGGTTTTAAGCCCATCTTTAAGTCTCTTTTCCTGTCCACAAATGTTATGTTTCCTGTTCTTGAGTAGGGAGTATAGTAACTGCTATGGAAGACAGTGATCGGGCATTCGGACAATGTGGCCAGTCCAGCGAAATTGATGGTGTAGGTGACCACAGGACAATGAATGTTTCAAATGTTAATGCTTCTTTATATGTTTGAGTAAAGGTAAGGGAGGGAATTTGAATGACTGCTGGATCAGCAGCAGAAGACTGGAGGTTAGCCTATTTTAAATCAGCCCTGGAGTAACCCCATATGCGACATGTTTGTGTCAAATCCAGGCCATTTACAAAATGGGCCTGGACGACATGTGCACTGCTGGGATGTCTTGCACCTCACTTCCTCCATGACTCCTCTGCACTTAGCTAGATATCGAACCCTGAAGTATCCCCTTATTTTGGAGATAAATAACTTTGAACATACTGACTACGGCTGGATCTACACTGCCCTATATCCCAGGATTTGGTCCCAAATTATCTGCTTTGAACAAGATAATATGAGTCTTCACTCCCAGAAAATATGGGATAAGAAGATAATCTGGGATCAGATCCTGGGATATAGGGCAGTGTAGATCAAGCACTAGTCAGTATGTTCAGGAGAGTGGTCTCAGAGTGGTTCTTCCCTGCCTTGATTATACAAGTTGCTTTAAGGAGGTCAGAGGAATGGAGGTATCTGGAGCAGGCATGCTACTTCCTACAAATTACTTTATGGGCATTGGCTCAAAGGTAAGGTCTACTGAGTTCAAGAGGGCTTGCTCCCTAGTTAGTGCTGGCGAACAACTAGGAGTTTCACACATTTGAAGCCATGTAAACAAATCATATTTTTCTATTAGCAACCTCTCTGCTGTGAAGATTGTTTAGCAGCCAAAATCATATAGCAGCATATTTTTTCTATCAATCATGTGTAGGCACAAAGCTGCCAGACATTTTTAATTTTAATTTAATTTTATTTATTTGTTTGGCAAATCTCCTGTACCTTTAACACCTCTCTTGACAGGCAGCTAGTGAAAAGATTTCTCCATAACAGCTATCTTATTACAGGAAGCACACACAACGTATGATAGCTGTGAGGGTCCACAGAATAAGGCAAACAAAATTACAGAAAGATGCCATGTTGATTAGGACCAAAGACAATAATGGTGGCTTTTTCTTTCTTGAGGTAGTCAGAGAGCCCTGAAGGATCCTGAAATATTATTCCTTCCCTTTTACTTCTTGGGAGGAGAACAATGACCAATCTCGATAAAATAATGAAGAGTAGAGACATCACACTGGCAATGAAGATACGCATAGTTAAAGCAATGGCATTCCCTGTAGTAACCGATGGATGCAAGAGCTGGACCATAGGGAAGGCTGAGCGAAGGAAGATAGAGGCTTTTGAACTGTGGTGTTGGAGGAAAATTCTGGGAGTGCCTTGGACTGCAAGAAGATCCAACCAGTCCATGCTTCAGGAAATAAAGCCCGCCTGCTCATTGGAGGGAAGGATATTAGAGGCAAAGATGAAGTGCTTTGGCCACATCGTGAGAAGACAGGAAAGCTTGGAGAAGATACTGAGGCTGGAGAAAATGGAAGTAAAATGGAAGAGGGGCCAACTAAGGGAACAATGAATTCATGTTATCCTTGAAGTGACTGGCTTGACTTTGAAGGAGCTGGGGGTGGTGACGGCTGACAGGGAGCTCTGGCATGGGCTGGTCCATGAGGTCACTAAGAGTCGGAAGCAAATGAACGAATAAACAACAACAAACCTTAGTGACATTCTGATGATTGTCAAAATGTCACTGCACTACTATAAAAGTCACAGAAGTTCTGGTAGAAGAAGTACACATTAACTGGGGTTAGAAGCACAGGTTTTATGTAAAAGTGAAAAACCACAAACAAACAAATTGATGGGTTTTTTCTTAGATAACACATTTCTGGGGATTTCTACATCTACTCTAAAAGCTGGCCATAGAAGCAGACTGGAGGACCTAGAGATTCCTGGAGAGATGTTCTCTCCAGAAATCTCTACATCCTCTTGCATGACTGGGGGAAGCTGATAATAGTGCCGGGCTTTAGCACAGCAGGTTAATCACCAGCATCAGTAAGATTACACCAATTGAAAGGTTGGCAGTTCGAAG